GGTGGGTAAGAGTGGATACCCATTCAATCGCCATATTATAGGCAATTTCCTTAAACACCCCTTACAGACCAGCTTCGTGAATGAGGCCTACTAACGGTAAGATAGACTTTTACTCATACATATATATAATATTAGACTTTTAATGTTATATATAGTATAGGGTGTATTTTACACTTTTAAAATACTATGTGGTTAACTTTAACAATTACACTTTTAATTCAATTAAATGGTTAACCTAAAATTTTATGGATTTATTAAATCTCTTTTAATTATACACCTTAATTAATTAATAAAACCATAAGGGAGTGATTTGAACTTTTCAAAACATTTCTAGGGTTTTAGAATTTAACATTCCTAATTAACTTTTAATCAACTTTTAAATTCCAAAACTTGAGGGAAAGTTTTGAAACATTTCAAAACATTAGGGTTTAGAATTTAAATATACATCAAAATTAAACTATTTAATCAAAATTTAAATTCCAAAACTTGAGGGCAAGTTTTGAACCTTTTCAAAACATTAGGGTTTCAACTATTTAAATTTCAAAACAACAAAACTTTTGGGTTCAAATTTAAACTATAAAACCTAAGGGGCAAAATATGAAACTTTTCACAACAACAAGGATCAAATAACAAATAATTCAAATTAACATTTAATCACATAATTATCCATATTTGATTTATTTAATGATTTCTTGCAAAACAATTTATCAATTTACTCAAAATAATTAATCAATTATCACATAAGGAAACAATTATCTTATTAATTGATAAATATCTTCAATTAGATCAAAATTATAGTCAAATATATCATATAATCGGATTAATGTTGATCTAACATGATAAGGTAACTATCCATAAGCAAAAACAACAAGAAAACCCGAGATACCCTCCATCTGACGAGTTGACTCGTCGAGTCAAGCCTGGACTCGGCAAGTTCAGCTATGGACTCGGCGAGTCCAGCCTCCAGAAACCCAAAAAACGAATTTTCCAGTTATACAATGCATTAATGCAATTGAAACCAAGCTAGACTCTGATACCACTGATGGGTTTTAGTCCTAAGAACATCCTATGTGCTCATACAAACCCTAAATCTTGGATGTAGGTTTCTCTATTGTACATGCAAGTTATCTAAGACTATAAACCCTAATTCTAGCATTCAAATAATCATATTAGCCATAAGAATAAGTTTATAATGTTACCTTGATTGTTATGTAGCAATAACAATCCCAAATCTCCTTGAATTGACTTTGGAAGGCTTAGAGTCACAAGTGTCACTCCTCTAATGGTTCACAAACACCATAAGCAAGAGGATGAAGAGGAGAGAGGTTGGAGGCTACCCAAAAACGTGTGAAACCCTAGAAAGATCATTAGCCACGTTTTTGGGTCATAAGTGTCTTATATATAGTAAGGCTATTAGGGTTATCTAACAAGGAAACCCTAAATTGGATGCTTAAGCCCTAAGCAACCCATGAAGCCCTTTCCTCAAGGCCTTGGACGATTTCATATGGACTTCCCCATAGAATTCGTCCACCTTATCATATAAGGAAATCCATGGCCCAAATTATAATTATCTTATAATTACAATTCCAGTCCCTTAAGTTTAATTAATCTCTTTTAGTCACAAAACTAATTACCAATTAATTATTGACTAATATTAATAAACAATATGATTTCTCCTTTAATATATTATTCTCATAATACATTAATAAATCATATTTAATCCTTTCTCTCCATAATTCATCCTATCAAGTTGCTTTGGTGAAGGCAACCCAAAAGGACCATGCACCATCGGGTCAAGTACATACCAAAATAGTTATGGACTTAGACACTAATCCAACAGAAATAGCCTTTGTGGTCGTTTTTCCGATGGAGGTGCAACCACCACAGTTGAAGTCAAAGACCGTCGGTCATAGCGCCGATGTGCTGCCATTGCTGGATTGTTCAAACAAGATTGTGGCATCGTCCGTGGTTTGTGATGTGGAGGCTTGTGTACATGGGTATTCTGTCGAGTAAAGCCGTGAAGAACCACCATGGAAGTCGACCATGGTGGTTGTTGCCTTCAACACCGCCGTTAGACGTCGCTGCACCGCTATAGCTACTATTTTCGTGACCATGAACCACTAGGTGGGTGGTGGTGTTACTGTTCCGGGCTTTGGGTGTGTCCCAGCCAAGGTTGTGTATGGTGTTTTGTGTGGCTGGAAAACCAAGAAGGCCACCACCACCATCGTAAGATGGTGGTTGCCACCATCTACCACCGCTGGCCACTACAAGGTGGTTATGTGTGTATGTATTTAGCATAGTGTGTGTGTGTGTGCGTGTGTGTTATTTGGGATTTGCATTGTAAAACTGTAATAGGGTAGGAATAATCAAATAAAACTCAAAAACCACCACCGTAGGGTGGTGGCTGCCGCCTCCTACCGCCATCGGCCTTCATGTTGGGTGGCGATGTGCTTTGCATGTGTTTGGGTTACTTTTGGAATGCTTGGAAACGATTATACTAGACCCCTAACCACCACCACGAGGTAGCCACCGCCGCCATGAGCCGTCATTGACCACTACTACTTGAGGTGGTAGTGGGTGGTGTCCGACTAATGAAACCCTAGTAGGCCTAATGAAACCCTAATGGGCCCAATGAAGCCATAATTGACATAAAAGCCCAACCATGTGACTAATGGGCTAGTATTAGGTAGGAAACCATAATTAGGGTTAATGTCATGAAACCATAATTTTAGGGATTTATCGGGACACACACGAAAATTATTTAATAAAACTAAGATGTTAATTAATAATCATTTTTAATTAACCTAAGGCAATATTGGACTTAATGGATAAAGTCCTTAATGGGTTAAGTATGAAACACTTAACCTTAATCGTCATTTCATGTGAAAACCCTAATTTCACTTGGGCCTTGGTGATTGGGTTATTGATGGGCTATCCAAGAACAAGTAAATGGTGTTAAAATAGTTGGATGGGCTTTAGGATAACGCCCATATGAGGGGTTGGGCCCAATTTGGAAAATTGGGCCATAGACGGGCCATAATATAGGCCTTGATGATTGTGAGATATTGGGTCATTGGTATACCAATAGTTTGGACTAGAATTATAGGATGGGCCTTAAGGAAAGACCATGTAGTGGTCTGGGCTCAATTTTCCATATGTTGGGCTTTGGCCCATTACTTGACTATTGGGCCTTTAGAGTGTGAGTTGAACCTTGGGCTTGGGACCCAATTATTAATTGGGTATTGTTAGATGTTGGCAGTTCGAGAATCTGTCAACCGGTAGCTGTAGTTTCATCCGTGGGACTTCAACAGTGCCATGTGAGTTTTCCTCACTATACTAACAGGGTCGAAGGCACCAATGCCGACCCTTTTCGGATTTGTATCCGGGTTATTGCATGTTATGCTTTATTATATGTATCCTGGTTAAAGGATGGTTGCTATGTTAGAGATCGGTTAGATTAGTATCCTTGTTAAAGGATGGTTACTATGTTAGAGATCGGTAAGATCAGTATCTTGGTTATAGTATGGTTGCTATGTTAGTGATCGGTTAGATCAGTATCTTGGTTATAGGATGGTTGCCATGATTAGTGATCTGTTAGATCTGCATGTTTACTTGTTTATATGTATTTGCACATATTTGTTGGTTTAGGGAAAGGATTGAGGCAGGTCCTGTTGTGTGTAGTAGGCCAAGACACCCTGGGCAGACCCAGTAAATTGTAGGCCCGGGCCGGGAAAATCTAGTCAGTCTGAAGGCCCAACGAGCGGTCTAGATAAGTTGAAGGCCCCGAGAGGGTGGTCCAAACGTGCCAAAGGCTTAAAGAGCGGTTCAAATAGATTGAGGGCCCGGGGAGGCGGTCTAGTCAGAATGATGGCTCATTATGCACAATGTTTGCTTATTATGTTATATAATATGGTTATATATGTATGGCATTGGTATTTTGAGAGTAACTCACTAAGCCTTTGAGCTTACATTTATCAATTATTATTTCAGGTACTTTTGAATGATCGTGCACCTCCTTATGTTTTTACTATTGATTCTGAGAAACTCTGATATTAAACCATTTTGAAAACATATTTGTAATAATTATCGGTTTTTGAATATCTTAAAAAGTTTTAAATTGGCATGATTTTTATGGATGTTACAAGTTGGTATAAGAGCCTTGGTTTGAGTGAATTGGATAAACACTTGTGTGAATCCAGTCTCAAACTAGGATCTGAGAGTTTTTGAATAAGAAATTATAATAAAAGAGTTGGGTTAGGGGTATGGGATCGATCTCTTGACATGTTCTTGTTTGATTTTTAGCTTGGGATTAGGAACGTGGACCTTGACTTAACTTTGATTTTTAAGGAGGATGCAAGTGTATGATCAGTCGGAGCTCACGGATAGGCCCCAAAATACCTTACGGTTTATTTGGTTTTGTCATATGTTAGAACAACATGCTAGTACTAGGCTGGGGATCTTCAGGAATTTCATGATAGACTTCTCTGATTATATGATGCCTGATAGCCTAGGGTTTTTCCTTATCTGAAATTGACATCATTACCGTAGTTGCTTAGTGTATGCATTACGATTGTACATAATTAAGATCTTATAGCCTGAGAATGTTTGATTTGGCCTTATTTCCTGTTCTTATTAAATGAAGGGATGATGAAACAAAGAATTGAGTATAGAATGAATTATAGAGTTAATTCAAAGTAAGTATGCAAGATTTGAACACCGATGTAAATATGATCTGTTTGGCTCTATTAAGCTTTGTCAAAGTTTGCAGAGTACAATGAATATTCTGTAAAGACTTCGTTACTAAGACACTTGTAACTTCTCCTATTTATAGAAGAGGAAAGCGTACCAAAAATATACTAAGGACTAAAACATTATGCTTCGAATATTATGCCTTAGTAAAATGAAAATATAGAAATGTTCGAAGACCCTAAATACAAACTTCGACAATTACAACACTTTGACCCTAACAATCTCCCCCTTTGGAATAAAAGTCGAAGTCTTCAGTTTGTAAGTAGAGTGATGGAGTAAAGCAAAACTCTTCGAACTTCAGTGTACCAAGAAATAATCTTCTTCATTTCCTTCTTATCGCCTTCATTATTCTTTTTATAGTGGTTCATACGAACACTTAAGTTCGCATATTGAGATGTTGAATATGTCTCCACTTCGCTGGCTTGAAACAAAAATCTCTTTACTTTTCCAGCTTTATCCTTCCCAGCAAAAACAATTCCAGATGGCTTTAAACATATTTCTCCATCTGCAAACTTCTTTAACTCAATATAAGGCCCCGTTTGATTATTTCTGACTGATAAAGTGCTGATTGGGAAAGATCTGTCTGGGTAAGAAATCTTGAATGAGTAAGAAATTATGTTGTTTGATTGTATATCTGTCTGAATGCGCTTACTAACAAAAAATGACAATTTTACCCTCCCATAACTAATCACATACTACATATGAATATTTGACCCAAAAACAAAAGAGATTCTTCGATTTCCATAATATACAAAACAAATTGTTCAAAAATATCATTTCCAACAAACACCAGCTTATTTCCAACATTCCACACATTAATGGGAATTATGCAAAATGGGGTAAAAAAATCAAGAGATGATCTAATATCCTAACTAGAAATTTTGCCCGAGAATTAAAAAAAAAACAAAAAAAAATAGTTGTTGATTACATCACATACTTGATGATATCTTTGAAATAAAAGAATATTTGAACTAGAGCAGCCATGATCAATCATCACATCACCATCTCTCACCCCTCATCTTCTTCACCCACCTTGACAACCACCTCTACAGCCACCCTTCTCCATTCCCACCACCTCTACAACCACCCTTGAAGATACCAAATGTGATTACAAACAATTCAACGGTTACCATAGTTCTATATAATCAATGACAGGATAACTCGAAACCTATTATACCTGATGAATATTTAATCATAGCGTCAATAAGTTTTCGTATTAATTATCAGATTTATACCAACTTTTGGGGCAGAATGATCTTTATTTATTTGACATATTGCTTAAATTCCGACTCTTATTGCCTACGTTATTACAAAGGAACAAACGGAACAAAACCCCCCATGGGACATCAATTAAAAAATTACCTAGTCCTGAAATGTGATCATTCTGGTCCATCTTTTTTTTAGATCACAATCTGATATGTTTTTTCCATTCTCTTGATTAATCTAGCCTATGAAAACTCTCTCATTAACAAATTATATCCCAAGGTAAAGTAAAATGATTGAAGTGAAAATTGAGAACATCACAAACCTGAAACCCAAATGTTTGGTTCTGCATACCCAAATCTTTTTTCTACATTTACAGCAAAATAACTTTTAGAAAATGGGACAAAAATCAACAGCAAAATGGGAACATTCAACAACAGTAGAACATTCAACAACAAAATGGGAAAAATCAACAGAAAAATTTGGAGAAATCGACATATCAATAGAATTCAAGAGCAAACATTAACAGATCATCAAAATTCGAAACTTTAGGGAGTGTTTGATAACTGCAAAATCAGAGAAATCGAACCCATACTTGTTCAACAGAAAATTAGACCTGATGATGTTCAACAGCAAAGTCGAACACATGCCTAATTATGAGGAGATCATACCTGGTGAGAAAAATGATAAGAGGCAATCGATGGAGGTGCTGGGTAGAGGAGATTGTCGGTTGGTTATCATAGAAATCGTTGATGGTTGGTTGATGCGTGGCTATAGAGACGTTGCAAGAAAATGGAGGCGCTGTAAGAGAATGGTAAGACAAGGGTAAAGATGGAAACGTAGCTTTCTTTCTCAGTTAGCTATCTTCCCGCATCTATCTCAATCAGATTTTTCACATCGACTCAGATGCCCAAACTTACATTATCAAACACTTTTTGCTAACCGAGTCAGCCAAAAACGTCTGACTCGACTCGGTCAGACGAGTATCAAACAGGACCTAAGTCAATGAAGGAGCCATTTGAATTTTAATTTCCATTCCCTTTGCAGTCGCCAGCTCCACATCAGTTAGTGCAAGGAACTCATAATAATTTTCAATGAAATTTTTTATGTGAGCAACTCCAAGTTTGAATTCTTCAGGATTAGTATTTTGCAAATAGGAGAAAGATTTGTCTTTAAGAAGCAATGCAACTTGTATAAGATCATACAAGTTCATTAGAGGAAAGTTAGCAATGGTGAATTCGCATGTTTTACCATTTGCCCTGGTCACAATGTATTTTACATTTTGAACAATATTTTCGAAGACCACATCTTTCTTCATGCTAATCACCTTTTTAATATTGATAAGTGACCAGACTTCCTCAGGAGCTTTACCCAGAACTGCATGAAATAAAATCTTCATATGGGTTCCTTCATCCTTTTCTTTGAAATTCCCTTCTGCTTTAAATTGAGGCATGATGAACATCATCTCATTAACAGGGAAATCCAACTGGCAAGTATCAGTGTTTGTAACCACATAACTCTGTTTTGGCTTCTTATCAAAAGAGTACATGTGGTTAAAGGCAACCAAGGCTTCGATTGTTTCATAATTGTAATGCTTAGCTAGATCACCTTTATTCATACCCTTTGGATCTCCAACCCTCTGAGTCATGATGCTTTGAACAAGCCTCATTCTCTCGAGTTCAGCTTCAGCTTCAGCCTTCTTTTCTTCTTTGGATTTTTCAATTAAAATTGATTTGCCTTTGCCTTTCGAAGCAGATTTTTCAGTTAAGTCTTTTGGCTTCGAACCACTCCCACCAAACTCTAACAATTCCTTTCGAAATTGTTCATGTAATTGGCAATGTTGTAACAATTGTTGAAGTCATTGGTTGAGCAGACACAAACACTGGCTTCGTTGATAGGATGTTCGAAGAGAATACCTTTCCCACAACTTTCGCTTCTTCTTCTGTGGACTTCCTTTCTCCCCTTTGCACCCCTGTGAAAACAGGAGGGGCAGTCGTTACGGGAAGAAGACTAGATATGCAAAAGAGTGGAGTAAGTTGCTTGTTTAGAATAGCTTCGAACTGTACAAATTTTTGTGACAAAAATTCAGTAGTGATCAATGGAGACGAAACTGGTTTTGTGGATATCTCCTTCAACTCTTTCAACAGCTTCATCACTCCTTTAAAATTTTCAGTTTCAGACCTGGAGATTTGAGAAATTTGTGGACTCAAACCTTCATACATCTTGACAAATTTAGTAACAGCATCACATATGATATCGATCTTCTGATGTAAGGACGCATAATCATGTTGAACAGATAAAATTTCCTTGTTCATTTCTTCATAAAGATCTTGGATTTTCGAATTCACATCCTCTCTCACTTTCTTAACCTCCTAAACATACAAAACATGTCGTTCTTTTGTTACGCTTTGTAGATCTTTCACTTCTCCCAGAAAATCAGATCTTTGATTTTAAGACGAAGCTCATTTGTTTGATTTGAGTAATCAACCTTCTCCATAAGCACTGTCTCTGAAGCCTTCAACATACCTGACACTTTGGAAATTAGTTTTGACTCACACATCTTTAACATTGAATCAACCTCCAAACTGGAAATTGATGAACCCCCTCCAAGATCAGCTTGGGATTGAATAATGGAGTTCAACTTTTGATTCAAAATTTTGTATTGTTTCATTGTCATGAGCATGTGATCATGGAAATCTTCTTCGTTATCATGAAATTCCAAATCTTCGAATGTTCCTCCAAACCCTTCATGATCTATTTCAGTGGGTGAAGTTGGTTTGGGGGTATCAGTTGATTGAGAGGAGAACATGGAAGTGATTGGTTGATTGAGGATGTGTTCAAAGGTTGGAGAGATAGTAGTTGAAGTAAGAGGAATGGTTGATGTTGGTGTAACAGAATCGAATGATTCAAAGGGAGTAGAGATGAACGGACCTTGGTCTGCATCCTTCGAAACATTTTCACCCAAGCCTGAAGTTCTCACCTCCTCAAAAATTGACTTGGCAATCGAAACTTCATGGGTGATTATAACAGTAGTCTGTGGAATTGAACTGGTAAGAATAGAGGTGATTTCCGGAGTTTCTGGTACTCGTTCATCCTCTTCTGTAGACTCACTTGATGAAACAATCTTCCGAGCCTTCTTCATCTTCTTCTTCTTCGGTTGGGATAAATGTTTCGCCATGTCTTCTGCTGCTCGTTTCTTGGATGCGGGAGAAACAAGAACAGGAACCTCACGAAACAATACTCCTTGATGAGAAAGTTGAGGTTTACGAAGCAGTTTCTGAGATGAAGATTTGCGTTTATGCTTGGATTTTATCTTTATTCTTCGAAACATCCCTATTTTCGAAGGAATAACCACATTTTCTTGTAACTCTTCCACTATTGGCATAATCACTTGCGTTGCTTCGACTGTCACAACAACATTTTCAGGCTTCGTCTTTGGAGATTTGGATGGTGTTGAGCCCTTTGCTTTCTTCTCAAGTGAGGTAGGCTCAGCTTTCTTCGACTTCTTGGTCTTCTTTTCTTCGCGTGTTAGTAAGATTCCCGTAGGAATAGAAGAATCGAAGGTTTCCAAATATGCCTGCAAGACAGGATTTAAAGAATCCACCCTTTTAAGCATTGCATCGGGAATCCGAGCACCATTGATCAAGGTGCATTTGCTCCTATGCAACCCATTTAGAACTCGTAGAACTCACATGAATAATTGACTAAACTGGAATGGCATAGAAAGGAATATATGTCAACACGATAGGTTAGAAACCTCAAGTCGTGTGCTAGTGATTATTTATTAGGTTTATTCTTGATTTGTTCTTGAAACCTTTCAAGACCATTAAGACTCCCACTGACTCCTTGACCTATAAGATTCTCTTGTCAAGAATCATTTTTTGGCAAAGAAATATTCAAGAGTTAGTGTAGCTTTCATCAAGACAAAACACTTCATATGATTGGTCCTAGTTGGTATTTGTCATATCCAAGACATCACAACTTACCAATTTCAAATGTGCAAGAATAAGAAAAAACCCTTTTCCAAATTCCACATTTGATGAATCTTATAGACCTTCTTAAGACTTGTCACTCAATTCACAATCTTGTAGTATAACTTTAAGACTTGATATCGGAACGAAGTATGATTGACTTCTTGATTTAAACATTTCCACAATTCCCGATTCCTCTTCTTAGACATACAAATTGTACTAAGACTCACTTAGAGGATCAATTGAGATATGGATCTTAATCATTAAGACTTATCATAAAACATAAAAAAAAAGTACTCTCCCTTCTTCTTAGAGCGGAGAAACATTTATCTTTCTACTTACTTGACTCTTCTTATTCGTTTTGCTATTGATTGAAACTCTTTCAATCAACTTAGAATTATACTCAATCTTATAGGTATAACCATATTCACTAAACTTTAGTAAATCATGACGATTATCTTTGTCATTCTTGTGGTAGACTTGATCAACGTACGACCTAGTGTATTTGGTATCCTAGTCCTTCAATTGACACTTTGTCAAGGAATTAGTCCAAATTTCCCAAATGTAAAAGTTTCCATTCATCATATAATACTTGTTATACGATTCCAAGTTCCTATCCACTTGAAACTTGGGCGATGAGAAACTCTTCATATTTGATAAACTCTAGACACATCCATAAATAACCTAATTAAGAATCAAATCCATTTTGCTAATAATAGAACTACACAAACATCAATTTTTCATATATGCCATTGTAAGGATCAACAAATAAGATAAAACTAAAATTTATTTTATTCATAAAAGCAGCGGAAAACATGTCCTTACAATGCAAAATTCGAATGAAAAACTATGTAATCAAATACTCCTAACAAATCTATCATAACTTCATGAGCTTAAAATCTGATCTTTGAATCCATGCGATCGTAATCCATTTCTTCGTGATCAGACTCATCTTGCTCTTCCATCAAACTTCCTCTCTTTTCTCTAATCCTACAAAACATTCAAATGTAATCTTATCACATTATGTATAAAGAATAGGAATTTAATAGAGTTAGATAATGGATTTTATACCTGAAGTAGAGTCATACTTCTTGACTCTCTCATATCTTAGAATCTTCAGTTCCTTTGGGCAGCTTCGTATCCATTGCCCTTTCTCTTGGCAACAGAAACAAGTGGGTTCTTCTAGAGTGTCCATGGAGGTATGGTTGGTTGAATTAACAGACAAATATGCTCCATTACTTCGCCAAATCATTTCAGATTCAGCAGCAATAAGCATGTAAGTTAAGTCAATGAGGGTCGCGTCAAGATCCATCATATAATACTCTCTTATGAACTTATCATATGATTTAGGGAGTGACTAAAGAACCCAGTACACAACCAACTTATTGGGAAAAGACGCACCCAACATAATCAACCTATCAATGTGTGATTTCATCCCTAGGACGTGAGCACGCACGGGTTTACCATCTTCATGTTCCATTGCCAATAGGGTTTCAGTGATCTTGAACCTTTCAAATCTTCGATCTTGTGGGTCGGGGAGAACAACGGGAGGAGGAGGAGGGAGTGAAATCAAGCTAGTCCTCATTGATCCTTCACTTTGGAACAAGCTTTTACTTTCAATAGGAACACCTTTTCCTTGGGGTTCGGGAAGACCACGGTTAGAGTCAGACATCTACAAAACGGGAGAAATTTCAAGTTAGTTGATTGAATCCTTAATGAAACACCCAAATGAGACATTAAGGCTAGGATCCAACAACATTATTTACACATTAGAAGAGGCATGCCGTAATCCAACATGCAAATAATTTGGAGGTAAGTGAATGACGATTCACTAATTCTTCACCATGAAAAAACATAAAGGCTTAAGTTTTAAATGTATTAAGAATTCCTAGATTTCCTTTGAGATTCATTCAACTTTTCAATGGCATGTTTAAATCTCGATATGCCCCTCTCATTTGTGACTGGGATGCCGAGGATCACAAAGTGGGTGTGAATAACCATGCAAATCTACATGGTGCCCTCATTGTTACGGTCACTTATTCGATGTGTCGGTAAACCACACACGCTCCATCGAACTATGACAAACATTGAGTCACCCTTTGCCACCTTTGCTTAGAACCCGATTAGTGTGCCGGTTAACCACACACGCTCCACTAACATCTTAGCAAGGGTACAAAGTGTAATTTCATGGGATTGCATCAATTTCACTTTCTCCTAAAGTAACTAGGATTGGGAATTTGTAAAAGTGTTTAGTTACTTTACATAGATTCATTATACTTATTAATGAAGAGAGGATTGCCCTATCCTACCCGTTCGGCTAACGACCCTCCACCAATCAAGGAAGCGGTGGGTAAGAGTGGATACCCATTAAACGGCCATTTTATAGGTCATAACCTTATACCCCCCTTATAGACCGACTTCGTGAATGAGGCCTACTAACGGTAAGACTAGCATTTTAGTTATACATATATAATATTAGACTTTTAATGTTATACATAGTATAAGGGTGTATTTTACACTTTTAAAATACTAGGTGGTTTAAATTACACTTTTAATTAACCATGACATTATGGATTTATTAACTCTCTTTTAATTATACACTTAATTAATTTAATAAAACCATAAGGGTTTAATTTGAACTTTTTCAAAATTAGGGTTTTAGAATTCAGACTTTCAAAATTAAACTTTTAATCAACAATTTAAATTCCAAAACTTGAGGACATGTTTTGAAACTTTTCAAAACAGTTAAGTTTTAATCTCACTTAAAATTTTTCGAATTTAAGACAATTTAAATTAAAATTTTAAATATTAAAACTCTTGATTTAATAATTATCTTGAATTAAACTATTAATTTAAATTATTAAATCATAAGGGGTTATCTAGATCATAGGGATAATTACCATTTAAACATTTAACTTATCCTAATCTCTTAAACTTCTACATGGATTTCGAAAATAAGGATAGGATAATGCAAAATCTTTAATTACCATATATAACAATTAAAGGATAATTACAAGATATGAGATAATCCAAATCTATAAAATTTAGGATCTTATCTTGGGGAGGAGGATAATTTTGCAAATCAAGGGGTTATGCAAACCTTGGATTTCGAAATCTTGAGGCTTAAGGAAATGATTTGAAAACCCTTTCAAATTTTCGCAAATTAGGGTTTAGGAACCTTAATCTTGAAAATTGCCTCCTAGGGTTTATTGGCTATAAACCCTAATATGTCAAGTTCATACATTTGTATAATAATAACTGAAAACAAGTTAACCAAAGGCTCTGATACCACTGATGGGCTTTGTACAAACAATCCTATGTGTGCATGCAACCCTAGAATTTAA